CCGTTGCGTATATAATGGTGGGCATTGCCTAAATTTAGTCTTCTGCCGAACCTAGTCGACTAATTTTCCGGCCAAATTTTGTATCTGTATAGCCGGTATAACCGCCCTTCAAGCGTAACACCCCAGCTAATTCAAAGGAGGGTGTGACTTGGGGTCTACTTTTTATCACAGAGAACGAAACATCGCATAGTTTAGCCAGAAGACAAAGATCAAACTGCCTGTAACTCCCCTTACCGTGGATGTCCATCCTTATCTCATGTCAACCAAATTGCGCCGAAAATTGCTTACGCAAAGGTTTTCCCTCCGTGTACACCAGCCACAATTTTCGTACACAATTTCGGTACGTTACCTCTAGGGCAGGCGTACGATCAGCGGCTCGCCCAGCGGGCCCGGGAGTCTCCGTGCCTCCCAGTCTCTTATAAAACAGGAATGAACTCCTTTCTTCTTGCAAATTCCAGTCTTTTCCCGCGTTTGTACCAGCCACGCAGTGTTCACTTGTTCAATTCTCCGTGTTTCATTCGTTTTGCTCTCCCTTTGATTCTCTGTTTCAATTGTTTAGAGTTAGTGAGCTTTTTGCTGTTCGCTGAGCATGTCGGAAGGGCGCAACAGCGCGAATTGGAGTATGGAGTTACGACAGGATCAAAAGCAAAATGGAGACTGTTAGAAATAAGGAAATATACGATGACATTGCGTGAGATATGGAGGCTACAACTAAACTACAAAACTGGTCAAGTACGTCCATGGCGGCAGGTTATTTGAGGTCACGATAGTGTGGGACGCAGCGGGAGTCCTCTGGCTCTCCCTGTCGATGTATTAACAGAAACGAACGTACGCTCGGATTTTGCCTGTGTGTAAACCGGGTCCAAGTCCAAGTACTGACCAGGCTAGTTCAGTGTATCAGCCTAGCTGGAAAGTGCCGAGGTAAGATTTTGCGCTCCAAAAAATAAATAGTGGGTAGACTATTCTCTACAAGCAGAGGTTGTGGGGGAATGACCGTTAGTTTTTATATATGGCCCCTTTTTTTCGCTACCCCCACCACCTTGGGTCACGCATGGACCCTCTCTGGCTCATTGGATACTGCCTGGCCAATTTGATACTCTTTTTTGCCGACCCTAGGATCTGCTTGGAGATTAGGTAGACTGTGTCAGATAAAAAAGGAGAGGGAGAGGAATTTTCGGAGGGAATGTTATAAATTTTATTTGATAAAATAAGGACGTCATGCTTCTTAGTTGTTACTTATCATATGATGCCATTTTCATTAGTTTTTCGTCCAGGGATCGACAGTGGGTAAGAAGAGGAAGCGAGGTGGGAACAGAGGCCGTGGACGTCGCTCATGCGGTGCCCGTGCAGGTGGACGAGGGCGAGGTCGTATCTAGATTTAGACTGCACCACGCTACTGCTAAGTTGAAGTTTCATACATTTAATATTGACCACAGATGTATTGAGTAGTCTTCGCATTGTGTTATTCAGTACACATGTTCAAATACCTATTCTACCTATACCAGATGTAAAAATTACAGCTAACATGTCATGACGCTTTGTTGTAAACATTGTAAACATGTGACAAATTGAAATAATCTGTCTGGAGTTTATTGACATGTTGAAATACCTATGCCTGGTTTCTATATCTTATACTGTATCTTGCCATAGCCATGTAAGAGTTGAAGGTAATCGACTGAATCGTTGTATCCATTTTAAAGGCGTTGTTAGGGGCTTTGACCTCAGTAATGTACAGTGTTCAGTGTTAAAACAGTAACTTTATTGTGGTATGATGACATATAATATTTGTACAGCAGTCAAACGCTCAGTGTGTGCGTCACATAACTGAATGGTATAACATAGCTCACCTTGTCCTTCACCAAAGATGGCTCCTCTGGTCTAGGGAAAAGGCCCAACGTGGCAGACTTTTCATAAACTTCCCTTTGTGTTGAACTTGGCAGCAGAATTCTTCTCGTGTTGAACTTCCCTCGTGGCAGACATCGCGACAAAGTTCCCTTCCTGGCGGACTCGGCGAGGGAAGTTCCCTCTAGGCGGACTTGACAGTACGCGCGTGTCGGCCTTAGTCGGCCTGCACAGACTTCGCGCTGGAACACCGCTGGTGTCGGCCTAGTCGACGTCGAGGGAACTTCCCTCGTGTGTGACTTGGCAAGGAACACCGCTGATGCCGGATTTAACGCAAGAACACCGTTCGTGTCGGCCTGGTAGCGGGAACTTCCCTCAGTCGGACATCACGCAATAAGCACCGTTCGTGTCGAGAGGGAACTTCCCTCGTGTGCGACTTGGCAAGGCACACCGTTAGTGACGGACTTCGTGCATTAAGACAATGCGAGGGAACTTCCCTCGTGTGTGACTTGGCAAGGGACGCCGCTAGTGACGGACTTTGTGCATGAACACAATGCGAGGGAACTTCCCTCGTGTGTGACTTGGCAAGGGACACCGCTAGTGACGGACTCCGGACTTCGTGGATGAACACCATGCGAGGGAACTTCCCTCGTGTGTGACTTGGCAAGCGACGCCGCTAGTGACGGACTTCGTGCATGAACACCGTTCGTCTCGGCCTGGCCGAGGGAAGTTCCCTCTTGGTAGGCTAAAACAGAAACTCTCCGTTGTGCCCGGTTAAAGGAGGGAATTTCCCTCCTATGGTGGCTGGATAAAACAGAAAATATAACTTGTACCTGGCCACACGAGGGAATTTCCCTCGCTAACCCCAGAAATCTAAGCCACTATGATGGTCTTTCTGAACTTCGTAATGTCTTTAATTTTTGTTATTACAGTTTGAAAAGCTTCACCTTCAAAATTTTGTTGTCTTAAGATTTCAAAATTCAAGACGAAAAAAGGGGAATAAATTGGATTTTCCCCTTAAGATTTGGAGTGTTTGAGCTAATCTCGAAAAGAAACTAGGGAGGGCTTGATTATGATCAAATCTGCACAAGGAACTAGCAGGGCCCGACACATTCTTCTCTGCAGGTAACATTGAAAATTGGAATTACCGCACAGCTCCAAATTATCTGGATACCAGATAAAAGGCTGACACAGATATTACATGTACGGAGCCTTATCTGGATACTAGATGAAAGACTGATGCAAATATTACCTGTACGGAGCCTTACCTGGCACCGTGTACCTGGATACCAGATGAAAGAGCCACACAGATATTACCTTACCTGGTTCACATATGAAAGGACCACACAAATATAAAACATACTAGTATTACCTGTACGGTGCCTTACCTGGTTCACAGACAAAAAGGCCATATTATTACCTGTTCTGCGGACAATTCACCTACACCAAACCTGCACTGGCCCATATGCTACTACTACTAGTAGCTTTATATAAAAATGTAGGCATATTTGGATTTTTATTTGCTGCATGACTGTTAAACAATGTGTTCAGTTTAAAAGAAATGATGGCAAAACCAGTAGTTTCCAGTTTTCAATGTAATCCATAATGTTCTGAGTGGGACAGGTAAAATGTGTCTGGTGCAGGTGATTTTCAATTATTGTAATTCGGTCAAGAGCCTTCCAGCTGTGGACCAGGCAAGGCACCGTGCAGGTAAAATCTGTGTGGCCCTTTCATCTGGTATCGAGATAAGGCTCCGTACAGGTAATATTTGTGTCAGCCTTTTATCTGGTAACCAGGTAAGGCACCTTGCAGGTAATATTTGTGTCAGTCTTTCATCTGGTAACCAGGTAAGGCACCGTACAGGTAATATCTGTGTCGGTCTTTTATCTGGGGACCAGGTAAGGCACCGTACAGGTAATATCTTTGTTGGCCTTCCATCTGGGGACCAAGTAAGGCACCATACAGGTAATATCTGTGTCGGCCTTTCATCTGGTAACCAGGTAAGGCACCATACAGGTAATATCTGTGTCGGCCTTTCATCTGGTAACCAGGTAAGGCACCATACAGGTAATATTTGTGTAGCCTTTTAACTTGGGTCCAGGTATGGCGCCGTACAGGTAATATCTGTGTCAGCCTTTCATCTGGTGACCAGGTAAGGCACCGTACAGGTAATATCTGTGTCAGTCTTTCATCTGGTGACCAGGTAAGGCACCGTACAGGTAATATATGTGTTAGCCTTTTATCTGGTGACCAGGTAAGGCACCGTACAGGTAATACAAGTTTACAAGTTTACAAGTTTATTAAAAGTCCAAAGGAGCTCGAGGGCAAAAATTGCCCGAATTACGTCCTCGTTACATAATTCATGAATCAATGTACACATTACGAAATTTAACATTACAAGTAACGTTACACGCAGAATATCTTTAAAAAAAACAGTATCTCAATTACAACCTAAATCGATCCATAAAAGCAAAACGAACACATTTAGCATAACATATATACAATTATCTGCACTCCCTTCCACACAGATCTGATTTCATAAAGGACGAAACGTGTGATGGGCTTGGTAAGAAATTTTAATGACGTGTGAACTCGATAAATCCACGGGAGGGTGGGAGGGTAACAAATACGTGTTGTCTCCCGCTGGACAAAAACAGACTGAGGAGGAAGGCTGGTGACGCTGAGAGGTCACGGGTCACTAGCTAATTAACAGGTTTGACCCCTCAGGTCCAAACCGCCCCAATTATCTGCACTCCCTTCCACACAGATCTGATTTCATAAAGGACGAAACGTGTGATGGGCTTGGTAAGAAATTTTAATGAGGTGTAAACTCGATAAATCCACCAAGACCAAGCCCGGAGGGAAGATGAGTGAGACGAGGTGCGGAGGCGGAGTGCGGAGAACGGGGCGGTTAGCAATAGCTAGCTAAAAAGGAGTGTACTATGGGGAAGTAATTAAACATGCCTACGTAAACAGTCAAGTTAACAATCGGGTTCAACAGATTAGATTTTTTACACAAAACATATGCTAAGTTAGGCGTGTATAACAACCATGTGGAGCTATGGCGCTCGAGATAATGCTAAGAGGTTTATCAACTCTCTGCTCATAACAACAAAATAACTAAGCTGGCGCTGAACAGCTAAATAAAACTATCTACGCTAATTACGCACAGCTAAAGAACAACAAGTCGTAACAGAGAGTGAGCTGTGACTGACGCGACCCCTGGTGGGGAACAAAGGAGTTATCATGGAAGAACCGGGCGGGACTTCAGATGACGCAGGGTTGGGGGCTACAGCCGAGCGAGATTTTAAGAGGATTGAGAGTGCAGGAATCCCTGTTTGATTCTGTGGGCTACTAATTGGCTAAAGGCCCGACGTTGCTCCAGAGACGAGTCCAGGTAGCGTTCGTAAGCGTCTGATGACCAGTCGCCGAGCAGCTTGATGGTGGCCGGGTCCGCGCCACAGTGCCAGGCGTACGTGGCCCCGCCCCGTCGGAAGCTATGGCCTGAGAAACGAGCGGCGGGAAAACCCGCTGTGTGGAGCAGAGTTTTGAGATGAGTCACGAGTGTATCATGAGTCAGGGTGACTAGGACCCCCGCTCGAGAGGGGATCAGAAACGCGGGAGCATGAGGGGGTGCAGGTAGCAGCCGGCACATGTTCAGGTACGCCTGCGTGGGGCACAAGGGATGTCCGGGGATGACCGGAAGTGGGAGACGGAGGACTTTTTGTTTGAATTGTAAGGTTTTGGACCAGGTGATGTGGAGCACCAATCCGCCCTCGGACGCGTGAAATGACTGTCTGGTGAGATGCTTGTCCGTGTCGAAGGCAGCGCTGGATTTAGGGACCAAGTTCGACTTGCGAAGAAGGCCGAAGAAAGCGACGCAGAACGCCGCCCAGAGAGTCGCATGCAGCGGCCTTGTTACGTCTAGATGACCATGGATTTGCAGAAGGATTGCCGGGGTGATGGGCAGTTTCTGTTGTGGAACGTGGGTGGAGTGCCGCTGTAGGGAGGACAGGACCAGCCGTAAGTCGAAGGCGCCGGCAGGTGGGGGTGTGAGACCTTGAAACAAGTGCAACAACCGAACCCCGTGGAGGTAAATCTTTATGCTATTGACGCACTTTAGCGAGCGAGACAGGAACTGGGCGTACCTGGCGAGAGTCCGTGTTTTAGCAGGGAGTGCGGTTAAGCGGAAGTGTTCACAGAACAGGAGGTACGCACGCCACTGTGTCTTCAGATTCTTGTACGTTCCTTCCGCGAAGGCAGACTGTTTAGCCCCGACGACGTCCCGGTCGAGCGCTGCCAGTTGAGCGGCGAGGCCTGGAAAATCAGAAGTAGGTCAACAACTCAAAGTCACTGTCAAGGACACCGACCGCGGAAGTGCGTATGTCCCGCGTCAGCTGGGTAAACTCCTGAGCATAGTACGAGGAAGTGTGCCACCTGCTCAAGTTATCGGCCAGCCTGTTGTGGACTCCGGGGAGATGGACCGCCTTGAGTTCGAACTGAGACTGGGCGGCGCACAACCAGACGTTACGGAGGCATGATTGTAAGAAGGGGCTTCGCGTTCGTCCCGAATTCAGCACGGTGACTGAAGCTTCATTGTCACATAACACGACTATACGCTGACCGGCCCAGCGGGGGCCCCACTTCCTGACGCAGACCAAGATGGATAGCAGCTCCAGGCAGTTGATGCATGGTTGGCGATCCAATACCGTGTGGGGAAAAGTTGCGTGAAAATACTCGCCAGTTGAGTTCAGGAGACCGCCACATCCGGTAAGGCACGCGTCCGAGCTGAAGATCTCGTCAGCTGACGACCAACCGTGCTGGGGTATGATCGAAATGCCGTTATAAGTGGGTAGAAATGTCCGCCACCAGGCAATGTCCTTCCGAAACTCGTCGTCCACGGGAAGCCGTTGAGACCTGTCGGTGAACTGCTTCAAGAACAAAATCATTCGGGATACAAACAACCGACCTGGTCTGACGCAACTGGCAATGAAATGTAATTTGCCTAGTAATGATTCAAGTTCCCGGCGTCGTGTCACCCGTTTGTACTCCCAGGCGCGCAATTCTTCCAAGGTATCGGAGACCCGCTCCGGGGTGACCTCCAAGGTCATGGTCACAGAGTCTACAGTCCGTCCAAGGAATACCATTCTGGTAGAGGTGGGACCGCTTTCTCCTCGGATTCTTCCAAACCAACGTGGAGAGTAGACAGCCCAGTTGGTTGAAGGCTTGCGGCGCGCGTTCCACTGTGTCCGCGCCGCCGAAGTCATCCAGGTAATTCACGCACGAAAAACCCATGACGTCGTAGATGTGCGTCACCGCGTTAGTAACACGTTGACAGGCCTGGCTGGCCGAACGGATCCCGAACGGGAAGACGACATCAGCGTAGTATTTTCCGCGCCAGCAGAAGCCCAGCAGGTGGTAATCGCCTGGGACTACGTAGAGTTGTCTGTACGCGCGTTTGAGGTCTCTCTTATAAAGTAAACAGCCCGGACCGAGCCGGACAACTATGGAGAGGAAATCGTCCACTGAAGGGTACTTTAAAACTAAACGCTCCCCTAAATAACTGTCCGTAGGGATACCGGCGTTGACTGAAGAGCCCCCTGGGTAGCTAAAGTCGACGACTATCCGTCTCACAGCAGAGTCCTTCTTGGGGACTGTTTGTAAGGGGCTGCACACGAGACTGGGAGTAAAGAAGCCTTCCCGTAACGGTCCTATTGTGGCAACGTGCTGTAGTTCCACTTGAATATAGCTGTCAACGTGCTCCGCGTGCAGTGTTGCAGAACCGTGGTTAGTAAGGGGTACCGTCGGCTGTTGAGCCGCTACATAATTTATCGGAAAACCAAACTCTAACAAATCGCAGATGGGCCAAATGTTTTGAATTTTCGAGATAGAAGCGCCACGCTGCGACGTGCAAGCGACTGGCAACCGGGATACGCGGCCCTTTGAAGTTCGGGAGGCCGGATGTTTTGACAGAGTCGTGCCACATACGAAAGATCTCCACTGTGGGGCGAACTTGTGGGGGGTGAGGGAGGGGCCAGTCAAGTGAGACTGGAGGCGCCGGAGCGGCTGGCCCAGTAATGCAAACAGGCTGTGCGGAACCCCGATCATCTGAAGTAACGCCCGGGTGCGACAATAAACAGGGATCATTGTAAACCGCGCCTGGCTGGAGGCAGCGTAGGACATGTGCTCCCGTGGGGAGAGAAGAATACAAGTCACACGAGCCCGGCTCCGGGGCTAGTCGCGGGGCGACGGAACACGCACTAGGAACTGGCGCTACATTAGACGCACTAGCTTTACAATCTGACAGAGAAACAGACACACTGCTTTCGGTACAATCTGGCATAGGAAATAAACAATGCTATCCTCACAACTTGTCACAGGGACAGAGACAGAAACCTGGCTAGTTGTACATTCTGGCATGGGAAAATAAACAATGCTATCCTCACAATCTGTCGCAGGGACAGAGACAGAAACCTGGTTAGTTGTACAATCTGGCATAGAAAAATAAACAGTGCTATCCTCACAATCTGGCGCAGGGACAGAGACAGAAACCTGGCTAGTTGTACAATCTGGCATAGAAAAATACACATTGCTATCCTCACAATCTGGCGCAGGGACAGAGACAGAAACCTCGTCTTTACAGTGTGGCAGAGAAACTGATACAGCGCCGTGCGGCGGAGAAACAGAAACATCGCAATCGCTACAATGTGACATGAAAACAGTGACATCTGTATGCAGCGGGGAAACATTGCAATCGTCAAACCCCTGTCTAACAAACAATGAAGAGTCACGTACCGTACAGTCGTCAATGGGGAAAGAAACGGTTCTATACCCTGTAGCTAAAGTGTCCGAGCTAGAGAGAGTTTGTCAGGCGTCCTGTTTACTAGTATCGTCAGTATGGTCGTCCTTCTTGGCCTCTTTGCGGCGACGACAATCGGCCTCGGAGTGTTTGTAGCGCTGGCCCGTCTTGTCCCAGCAGAAAAGGCAAGCGTGGTCGAACTTGCAGGAGGTGGTAGTGCAGCCGTTCTTGTTGTATCGGAAGCATAACTTTGTGGACCGCGATTTCTCGCCGGACGCCGGGGGGGGGGTGCGCTCTTGGGTTTCAGCTTGGAAGTGTCCCCGTCGAAGAAAAACTCCTTGAGTGTGTTCCAGTCAGAGCTCCAGGTACCCGTGTTGGATTGGAGTGCACGCTGTACTGCTGCACTGTGGAAGGCGCGTACAACGGACCATTTGTACCGGGCCAGACGGTTGCACGTGTACTGTAGCAGGAGGATCCGTCCGAGTCTCTCCTCTTCCGTCGGCTCGTCGGACAGGAGGAGCCCCATGCTACCGCTGAGGAATTCCTCCGGGGTGAGGTCGTCGTAGTTTTTCACGTCGGCGGACTCGCAATTGAAAACGAATGACTCTGGAGAGAGAACTTTTCGCTTACCTTTTGAGGGGGGCGGCTTGGTAACGGAGGCGCCGTCCAGATGAGCCAGTTTTTCGTCCACCTTGGTCAGCAGCTGGGAGTCTTTTCGGAGTTGATCCAGGGTGACGTCTGCGTCGCCGAGCAGAGCCGCCACGCCGGCAGAGGATCCCGTGCCAGGGATGGTAGGAGGGTAAGGTGAGGCGGTCGTCAGGCGTTGTAGCTTCTTTTCTAGTTCCTGCACTTCGTGTCGAAGCTCTGCGTCGCGGATTGCCGCCTCTAGCTCCGCTTTTCGCTGGGTGCAAACGTATTTCCATGCATTCAGTAAATGATAGACATGTATAGGGGTCATATTCATATGATTCTTTATTGCTCATGAACACTGATTTTAGTGGCATACATCGAAGTGCGGTCATGTCGCCAACTGACCGTAAACTACCCCTTCAACTTCAAGTAAACCGGTAACCTTGCTATACCATATGTGGAACGTGGAGTACAGGGTAGAAGAAGAAATGGTCCCTAAAAGGTGGATGATCCACCAGTTTGGTTAGAAAAGGGATTATATATTTGGAAACTTCCTTGACTGAACCAAACAGAGACTTCCGGTGGACAGATTCTAATCTTCACCGATCGGCCTGGCCTGGCCGCCCGGTAGGGGGGTGGTTAACGTTGCGTGTGCGGGGAAGTAAATGAGGTGTGACTGTTACTGTTACTGTTACCTTTGGAAAAGCAGGGCAAAATGTTGAGGAGTAGGTAACCCTGACCTGAGTCTAATTATAAGGGGTGTGGTCGGGCGCGTGCGGGGAGGTAAATGAGGTGTGACTGTTACTGTTACTGTTACCTTTGGAAAAGCAGGGCAAAATGTTGAGGAGTAGGTAACCCTGGCCTGAGTCTAATTATAAGGGGTGTGGTCGGGCGTGTGCGGGGAAGTAAATGAGGTCTGACTGTTACTGTTACTGTTACTTTTGGAAAAGCAGGGCAAAATGGTAGGTAACCCTGGCCTGAGTGTAATTATAAGGGGTTGGGCCAAACGTGTGTTACTGCGAATTTTGGAGAAGCAGGGCAACATGTTGAAGAGGCTGTTGTAACTGTTCAGCTTGAGTGAGTGTCGATTATCCTTTAATTCCATCGAGTGCAAAATTAGACTATTACCTTTTCTGTGAAGTTGCTGATTCCCAAGGGAGGGGTAAAATGAACCCATGCTGTTGGTTTTATCTGTGGTAATGGACAATCATGTTATTTAAAAACCTAATGGACTGATGGGCTATCTATATTGCTATCTTGTAGTTTTGTTACCTTTTTTGTGAAGTTCTGAAATGCCCTGTGTTTTAGCATGTCCAATAGTTTGCCACTACTGGAGTCCAACGGTGAGCTTTACGGATCATCTCTCTGGGTTGAAGACTGAAGGTACCCAATATTCCTACACTCAGAGAACGGCGAGAACTGGCAGCCGTGAAGCTGCTCAAAGCCATGCTGAACGCAGACTATCCCCTCCATGACTTGGTGGAGGGGCTGATTCCATATTTACCTTCGCCAAGAAGGTTATGTTTTCAGGGGCGTTCGTGTATGTGTGTGTGTGTGTGTCTGTCTGTCTGTCAACACGATAACTTGAGAAGGTCTTGATGGATTGTCTTGATACTTGGTAGGTGGGTAGGTCTTGATGAGACCTCAAAATGATTAGATTTTGGGCCACCTGGCGGCTTGTCATGGTACTGCAGCAGAACTTCCGGTTTTGATATCTCGTGATCTAGACATGCTAGGGTAACGAAATTTGGATGGCAGGTAGCTCTTGTGCTGGGGAAGAAGTGACGTGACTTTGGGCCCCCTAGTTGCTTGCTCTAGAACTGCAGGGGGGTTTAAAGGACAAACGTTTAAAGGAGGATAACTCAAGAACCGATTGATGGATCATCGTGATTTTTGGTATGTAGGTAGCTTGAGTGATGCTTGACATAATGATATTATAATTATACAAATATGGATGTAATTTGCATGATTAATGAGGAAATTCTATCTATCAGCTGCATTCCATAAAAGGAAGATCAAGCTTGTGACATGTGTTATTAAGAATGAGAGAAACACAGGCAGATATCGATTATGTAAATGAAGACTTAATTTGCATAATTAAAGAGAAAATATTATAATTGCATAGTGGTAACTGCCTGGAATTTTATACTTGGGATGTTTGAAAGTTAAGTTAAGGTGAACATAATTAAACATAACTTATTCAAATAAGGACCTCATTTGCATAATTTATGAGAAAATGTCATCATGGCATTCTTTGTTAAGATAAGACTGTCTTTTGGTGGAGAATATGATCAACAGATATAATTCATGCAATTGAGGATCCTATTTGCATAATTAGGGGGATTAATATATAATTTCTTAATCATAAAAGCTAACATCATTTGGCGAAGGTATGAGATCGTGGAACTCTAGTTTTTAATGTACTGCTGCTATGCTGACCACTGTTTTGAATAATAAAGAATGATAATAAAGATATGCTTTTGCACTATTTCCCGATATATAGATATCCTGTATATCCAGTATATCCTAATATCATGAGATAAAAGGTGTAACATTTATTTCATTATAGACATTTTTGTACATTTTGTACATTAAGTACATTTTTGCGTCTCGAGCCATGTTGTTAACCCAAATTACCTACCTTTTGGTTTGGGGAGATCTTGGACAAATGCCTACAAAATACTTTTCACGAATTTTGCCTAGTTTAATTCAATTGTGTGTAAAACATGCCTTCCTTGCTATTGCAAGACATTTATGTCTCCTTATACCCTAATATTTAAACCAAATACCTAAAGTTTGTCACAGGGATGCATTGAATATATGTCCACAAAAAGTCATTCAAACTGCTTGCACATGTCACTCTAAGATTATGCAAAATGATGCTTTTGCCTTCTCAATTTGGCCGATGGCCGATGTTCTCAACACTTACTTTGCGTCTCAAACATGTCTGAATACCGAAGGCGCTTCATTTCCAAACTTTAAACTCAGAGGACGGACTGAGTTCCTGACTCTATTACCTGTTGTCCTGCAGACGTATACACAGTACTCTCAAGCATTAATGTTAATAAGGCCACGAGTAATAGACTTCTGTGGAATATTGCGCCTTCGATAGCAGAACCATTGTCACGTTTTTTTAATGTCTCACTGAAATATGGCTGCTTTCCTACAATTTAGAAAGTTTCAAACGTTGTTCCTGTGTACAAGAATGGTGATAAGCAGGCCAAGGAGAACTATAGGCCTATTCTTGGTACCTGTTGATGTTCCACCTGTCGTAGATAACATACATTATGAAAAAAAGAACTATTATGTAAAATACTGTAATTACAAAAATTTCTTTAATTATGCAAATTAAGTATTCATTTGTATAATTTACATTTAATTATGTAAATCTTTCTTTAAGCTACTTACATCAAAATGATTAAACTACGTTGTTTTTTGTGGACTTTGCCAGAAACTGTCCTGCAGTTCCAGAACAAGCTGCTAGGGGGACAAACCCCTCACCATTTATTCCTGATTGAAGCTATCTGTCACCAAAGATCCAAGACCATAGCAAGCTCAGGACAAAAGGTACATAAACCGGAATTTCTGCAACAATACCAACGTCAGTCAATAGGAAGCCCATATTAAACCCTGACCTTTGTCTCCCTACGACCTACTAACACACCAAATATCATCACAATCCATAAAGGCGTCCTGAAGTTATGCTGACTACAAATGTGCGGAAACACAAACACACAGACACACATACACACTCAGACAGGCCAAAAAGAATACCTCCATTTTTCATTGAGGTAATGACAGGGATACCAAAAAAAGTTATTCTAAATACGGAGACGGTCTATGATGCTACATTATTATACACAAGCTATCTTAATGCTATCTGGCCTGATGACAGTGCGTTTGATATATTTACAATATCAAGACTATTCAACACGCTCAGAGTGTAACTAAGTATTTGTAATTAAGCAATGTCCAGAGTTTATTGTATGAATTAGCCGACGGAGGGGGCTGTACGGATATCAAAAGGAATGGCACTGCAGATGGTGATTGCTCTGTTTATAGATGTTCTCTGAGATAGGGCAGTCAATCAATTGTTCACTGTTCCTGAAGATTCAGAAACGAACGCCCGCACTCGAGGTAGCAGACTTTGCAGGTGTGGAGGTTAGCGACCGTTTAACAGTTTGTACATGGCTACAGCAGCATGAAACCTTCGTCGGAACTGGACATACGCTAAAGTACAAAGTACAATATAGAGCTTGCTGTACAAAAGGATATGGTAGCCCGAATTATCATAGTCGTTTGATACTTGATACAAGCGTTGGCCCTAAAACAACGCCTTGTCTTACTCCGGCTAATGGATGGTCAACTGCTGTTGTCTATCGGAGAGACAGTTGGAGTATCAGTCTTCCATGGGTCAGCTGGTGACATATGCTCTTAGTTTGGAGAAACGTCCTGCGTATCAAACCTTGTCAACGACTTTTTGAATATCAAGAAATACGCAGTACACTGTTCCCCTCTATTTATATCATCAGTTCATTCCTCTAATAGCCTAGTCTGTTGGTACTTGTCAAGGGGGAGAGATTTGTTGTATAGACGAATTATAGGTACCGATAGCTGACAGATGTAGCAAGATAAAACCTTTTGAGGACAGGCAGCGGGGTCGAACTTTTCGGATGGGTCGCATCTTACAAAAAAATACTCCCATTTACTGATAAATTCGTTTGGAGTATTGGCTTTCTCCCGGAATTCCCAATACAGTTGAACCTGTCAATAATGGTCACTCAAGGGACTGGCCAAATTTGACCACTATAGACAAATGACCACTATAGAGAGATTGACCCCACCCCTCCCACACAAAAAGTGACACATGCTTTCAGTTCCAACAGAGATGTCTTTATTCTCAAGCATATGAAAACATTCATTGCACAAGTAAATACCTTTTAGATGTAGCGTTACATGTTATAGCTCAATCGTGTAATTTGTTGTTCTTTTGCTTTAGTTGTGGACTTGAAAAAAAGGAAATACGGAAATATAATTTTGCAAGGAAACATGATGATACATAACATCAAGGATGACATGCACTCAACATACTCGGTTGATCTATTGGAACAATGAAACCATTCACACTAAAACATAAAAAATCACTGGTTGTCATTTAATGTTCTTGACATGTGTACATGTACCTGAAAAAAAGAAAAGAAAGAAAGCAAAATCAAACAACAAAGGTTCTGTTGACTCCAAACAAATTTTCTTGTATAACAAAATCAAATTTAAGTGCCAGGAATGAAAACATGAATAAAGATAGTCTATTTATACCATGTTTTTTGTACATATTGAAATACAATAAAATATGACGGCTATACATAAAATAGTAATTTAGAAATAAAACAATGTTGTATATAGAGAAATCTAAAGACTATATTTGATAAACTTGCACGTCTTTGAAATAGAATGGAATTTTTTTTTACCCACCAATTAAAAAAAATATCAATGATTCAAAAGTGTACCTCGTTATATGCCACATCAATATCTGGTTCGCATTCATCATTGTTTTCGCCTCTGTACCATTTATCTAGATTAGTATACATCTTTCTAGAAGTCGGGCATATTTCAATGAGATTTCTACATAAATTACACCATACTCCATCATCCAAGGGGATGCTTTGTGGAGGATTTGTCTTCCACTTGAAGTATTGATTGTACATCTCTTTGTCATTGTCAAGTAATTTCAGATAACCAGCTAAGGCTTTTGGTGATTCAAAGTCATCGACATGTATAAAGGAGTTTGGAGGCGCCAAGTACTCATAGTCTTTTCTAGGTGCTCCTAGCACAACTGGAACAACATTGTTACCAAGAGCGTGTCTCCAGAATTTCTCCGTTATGTATTTCTTACATTTCATATTTTCAAACGCAAGATAAAACTTGTATTGGCGAATGTATCCCACCGTGCACTGGAAGTCCTGCTTCTCACAGACTAACTGTCCGCATTTTCCAAAGATGTCGATGTGAATATGCTTCAGCAATTCCTTTGCATAGATGATGCGGTGGGCACGCGATGAGCACTTACTGATAAACCAAACAGCAAGCTTTGTTTTACCAAGTGAAAAGTCTGTTTTGGGATCAAGATCAGCACCTTTGAGTCTCTTATATACCAAATATGAAGACCCCCAGGCACCTGACACGTCAGAGTCATTTCTATATGTTATGGTCCAGTTAAAAATACCACTGTAAGAGTTTAGATTTATTGAAAGGTAGTTCGGGCACTCAGAAATAAACCAGATCCATTGTTGATGTACAGAACGTTTTGGCGGCATTTCTGTCTTTGAGTATTGCAGTGGCAGTTGACTGTTTTCAAAGATAACAGCATCGGCATTTTGAATATTTTCTTCACTTGTTGTAAAAGTGCATTGTGGAAACAAGGGGCACAGTTTACCCTCTTTTCCTGGCATGTAAACGTTTAAGTGTTTTTTCCACATTTTTGTCCAAAAAACGACTTTCCTCGATTTACTTGCTGACTCCTGCCCCTTCTCTGTACGGTCATTCCAAACGGTATAAAACTTTGCACTGGAATCTACCGACGGGTCAGATGCAAGGTTGGGAACGCATTTCTTAGTGTCAGGCAGTGGCGGTGATTCCTTGTCATTTTTATCGGTTGCACTATAAAGGGAGATTCTGCAGATGACATCATGTTTACGTAACACATACCACCAGGTAAACAAAATAGAGCAGCTGAACATCGTTACTGCATACACCTTGAAGTTTCGTCTCGGGCTCATGTTTAGCCTAGTTACGTGTCAGTGTGTAGGACTAAATGACTTTTGTTGATGGCGATTTCTTCTGAAATATCCGGGCATCCTCCACAAAGTATCAGCTTAGAAGCTGCTTATTGATACATGGTGTTACATTTAGTTCCAAGTTATACCTGGAAAGAAAAGAAAAAGAATATTTGAACCTGCCTTAGAGATAGCGCTGGTTTAACCCTATCTAGACGGGGGGGGGGGGGCTAAAAGTGCCCGCGCCAACTTTGATGTCACATAGCGTCTGAATGGCTAAGGCTAGAACGACCAAACTTGGTGACTTTTCCTAAAATATTGTTGGCAACAATTTTCTATCATTGGAATAAGATAGTAATTTTTTGTGTTGACATGGCAACGGGTTTCTGACAGGCATTTTTTGCTAAATTTAGTAATTTTTGTTTCAACAATAGAATTTTATGGGTTTTATGTCAAGTTACTCATGGTTTTTAATATTGATAACATCCCATATGAATTTATGTAAATTTTATCATTAAATATGCATAATTTAATGCATGGTATGTTTGCAATGTATTTTAGGCTTTATCACGAAAAAAAGTATTTTTTTAAATTCAACTTTGATGATCCAAGATGGCGGATATCTTAAATATGTATGACGTCATTTTATGACGTCACCGGTGTTGCTATGGGCAACATAAGACTTAGTACACTCTAACATTCTGTCATAAACACTTTTGGTAAAGTTATGTTGTATACCATTTAGTTTTCAGGGAATAGCCTATCTAGACGGTTTTGGCCAATAAAATGCCATTAATGACGTCATAATGACGTCATATTACGTCATAATGACAAAAAATTGTAGATATGATAAATTTTATCTAGTACACCATCCTCTAAAAATTTGGTAGCCATACGACATACCGTTAGCGAGTTCTGAGGGGGGGGGCAAAAGAG